CTCCTCCTCCTCCTCTTCTTCTTCTTCTTCTTCTTCTTCTTCTTCTTCTTCTTCTTCTTCTTCTTCTTCTTCTTCTGCTGGGGGAGCCATGGAGCCAAGAGAAGGGGGGGAGGAAGCCTTGGCGAGGCTGTCTGGAGCAACTCTAGATAAGCCACTCAGGGGTGGGGTTCAGTGGGTCTGGCCGCTGCAACGGAGCCTGGAGAGATCGTGTGTGTGTGGGGATATGAAATCCCCCCCCTCGCGAGTATCGCGGGCAGGGACTCTTGTCTTTTCTAATCGTGGGAAGTAAACTTATACTCTCCATTCTCTCCTCTCAGGTGTGGAGGCCACCTAACAGCATTCCCCCCCCCCCTTTTTTGAGGTGGATGCAGCAAAACATCCCAATAATGTAGTCGTCCTTTCTCTGGTCTTTGTCTTTAACTTGTTTTTAAATGGTTGTACATCGCCCAGAGCCTTACATCGTAGGGAACAGGCGATTTAGAAATTGGATCGATAGTAACCATCAACACTCACACCTGCAAGTCGTCTCTCGGTCCTGCCGTCAGGGCTATTTTTGGGCAGGAACGCACAGGAACGGAGTTCCGGCTGGCTCCCGAGTTGGCCACGCCCAGCAGGAACTCATTAGCACAATAGGCCACACCCAACGCAGGAACTCATTCGGATTGGCTACATTAGGGGTGTGTGGCCTAACATGCAAAGGAGTCCCTGCTCCAAAAAAAGGCCCTGGGTTTTGACAACATACAAGGTAAACAGAATAACAAGCAAAAGGTGGGTGTGGCTGGGTGACCCCACTTCTGTTTGTTAACATGGGGGTGTGGCCTAATGTGCTAATGAGCTGTGCTGTCAGGGGTGTGGCCCAATATGCTAATGAGTTCCTGCTGTTGGGTGTGGCCTATTATGCTAATGAGTTCCTGCTGGGCTTAGAGCCCTGCCTGCCGTCATCCAGCAATGGATCTGCCGAGAGTTGACTATCCCATCGTGTGAAATGAACGTCTTCAGCCAGGCAGTTCTTTGTTTCATTTCAGACAAAGGATGCCCTCTTCACCATCCTCCAAGATCTCAGGCCCGAGGACCACTTCAACATCATCGGCTTCTCCAATCGAATCAAGGTCTGGCAACAAGACCGCCTGGTCCCCGTGACCCCCGAGAATATCAGAGATGCGAAGATCTACATCCACAACATGTCACCCACGGGAGGTAATCTTGGGTCCGAACGAGATGGGTAGGGTCTGCCTGTTTCGACACAGTGGCCGTCTTTTCCAGGATGGAAGTACGACACCCTGGACGGGTGCATGAAGTCCAACAGGTGTGGCTTTCCCTTAGAACTGCATTTGGGGGGGGGGGCTGGGTAATGGTGTACCGTG